ACGACTGTAACTAACATTGTATCGCACCATATAGTGTCAAATGTTGTCCACTCGGCATCCATTGCAGCCTGGTCATCCTGGAAAGGGGATTCCCACATCTGCCTCCCCTATTCAAGATTTCTTATTTTTCCCCATGTTTTTGTTTTTTTTTTAATTATTTTTTTTAAGTTTGTTCTTGCTCTCCAGTGGTTTTAAGATCAGGGAATTTGATTATTTTGACAACTGTGAGCAAGTGAAGCCCATTCAATAGATTTGTCTTGACATGACTAGTAACATTCATGAAGATTGTAAAAATCCATAGCACATCCGCCTCACAAGGGACATGGACAGGGAGATCAAATGTGGTTTTAAAAGGAGAGGCCTAATGCTGTGCTATGAGTGTGAGCGTGGATGGTTGTTCGTCTATGTGTGCCCTGCAATTGGCTGGCAACCAGTTCTGGGTGTATCTCGCCTATTGCCCGAAGACAGATGGGATCGGCTCCAGCACACCCCACGACCTTTATGAGGACAAGTGTAGCAGAAAATGGATGGATGGATAACTTGAAGGCAGAGATGGGCACTTTACCTTATTTTGCCGGTCCGTCGCGATCTGGGTACCTTTCTGTCCATCCATCCATCCATTTTCTGATCACCTTATCCCGTCAAGGGTCGCAGGGCGTGCTAGAGCCTATTCCAGCTGTATTTCGGCAGTAGGCGGGGTACACCCTGAACTGGTTGCCAGCCAATCGCAGACATTAGTATTTCATTCATTCATTTTCCGATTCGCTTTTATCCTCACAAGGGTTGCGGGGGGTGCTGGAGCCAATCCCAGCAGTCTTCGGGCAGTAGGCGGGCGACACCCTGAACCGGTTGCCAGCCAATCGCAGGGCACACAGGGACGAACAACCATCCGCACTCACACTCACACCTAGGAAAAAAGAGTGTTCAATGGGTGTTTTTTTTTTTTTTTTGCTTGCATTGCTGACATGAATGCGCATCAAAAGAAAAGCAGCACATACTTAAAGGTACAGTATGTAGGATCGAGTGCCATCTAGTGCTTAACTAATAAAATCCAACAACCTAAACTCGAAGCAAGTGCATTTTGAAGCACATGCATGATGGTTTCTTAGAGAGACAAAACTTCGCAAACCTACCACCAATTTCTTCAACAGAGGTGAAAGCCAAATTTCATCATAAACAACTTCTAGTAATCCTTCAAATGTCGGAGTGAGTGCATAGTATTTTTCTACGTTCCGGAATAATCCAGAGGTTTCCTCCCACATTCCAAAAACATGCATGGCAGGTTAATGGAACACTCTAAATTGTGTGAGCGTGAGTCCGGATGGTTGTTCATCTCGGTCTGCCCTGCGATTGACTGGCAACCAATTCAGGATGTACGCCACCTGCTGCCCGAAGACAGCTGGGATAGGCTCCGGCACCCCTTGTGACCCTTGTGGGGATAAAGTGGATCGGAAAATGGATGGATGGAGATATTCTTGTGCTTCAGCTTTCACAACATACTCGGACACACTCGCACATGACTGTAGTTGTTTTGATAGTACTGATGACAATGAATAACAACACAATTACAATGCAATTGAAAAACGCCACCGACACCTGAGAATAGACAGCTCTATCGGGGAAGGTGCAGCTGATTTATTACCAAATATCTCACAAGGGTCGCTTGACTTCCCGTTCTTACAGGGATGGACGTACGACCCAGCGCTGATAGTATTTGCTTGACCATTTTGTAATTCCTATTTATTGTATTACTGTAAACACTCAAAGGCAATTTCAGTGTATTGGAATTGTATCTGGCTACAACATCACCAACAAACATTTGCACATGACGTGACCTGGATTCGAACAGGGTTTGCTGCTGCCACAATGTAGGATACTAAGCACAACACGAACAAAAACTGGGCTGATGGAATTCCATTATGGATACCTTTTTTTTCTGATCAGGCCACAGTCCAGTTCCATGCAATTCATCCATGACATCTGGGGTTCAGGTAAAAATGAGCACCAAACAAAAACCTCTGGTGCTCATGAGAGAACCACATCAACATTATGTGCAAACCTGGCTATGGCGTAATTAAATGTATCGTGTATGTATGTAATTATATCGCACAGTATAGTTGATTGTCTGTGTATTTGTATAGTTTTTGTTTGGCTTTGTTTTACTCTACGGTCTGCTGCCAGGTTGGCACAACAAATCAGAATCTGTTCTCAATTGCCTTACCTGAATTGATAAAAGTTATTATTATTATTATCATTTTTAAAGCCTTCTTTATATATTCAAGAGCAAGTGTACATCATCGTGGGATCTTTTGAGGGGACTAAATATACTATATAACAGCGGTCCCCTACTTTTTTGCCCCACAGACCAGTTTAATGTAAGACAATATTTTCAGGGACCAGCCTTTAAGGTGTTACGGATAAATACAACAAAATCATATGATATGACCTGCATGAAAACTGTGGTATTTTCGAAACAACAATAAGCACGAATAATGACATGAGGAACGTCCTATCTGGCCGCAAAGCTCTCTGGACGCCTTGGTAACGGTTAAACCTGCCTTCAAAATAAGATACACCGCAAATATAAAGTGTATGAAAAATAGGACTCACCATCTCCGCATATTATGCAGAGTGGGCCTGGTGTGTGGGAATCTCCCATTGAGATACAACCGTATTTTAAGTAGGACTCATGATACTGTCGATTAAATGTAGCCTTGTTTTTCTTGGAAGTCGTAGGCTCCTCTTCTGTCTCTGGCTGGGCCTTTTCCCCTTTCCAAAGACGTTTTTTTTTTTTTTTACTCATTTTGCTAGCCCCTGGGTTTCATTTTTGCGGTAACCTATCACGTGACTTAGAAGCGCGCCTTGACCTGCGTCAAGAGTGAAACACTGTAGACGGATGTAACAGAGAATCCGGTGAATTTTCAAAATAAAATATTTTCAGATTCCAAAATAACTAAAACGGAAGTAATCTAAGTTCTTTATTCTTTCTGTGCGGCCCGGTACCAAATGGCCCACGGACCGGTACCGGTCCGCGGCCCGGGGGTGGGCACCACTGCAATACACAATCTGCTCAGAACCCCTGTACCTTACATCAGAGGTCCTCAACCACCGGGCCACGGTCCATTCGGTACTGGACTGCAGAGAGTCAGACCTGTGAGCTCCTAACATTGTTTTGCAACTTAAAATAAACACAATCCGCCAGTAAATGAAAGAAGAAGCAGTAAACAGAACGTAATAATAACAAACTGACCGAATGTACAACTAAACGCGCAGCTATTGGGCAGCCATGACTGAAGAGGATGAGGCTGTTTTGACAAGAGAAGTTCCTCCCCTAGCGGGATCTCCAGAGCGATGCAGAGGAAGAAGCCGTTGTGTGTGCTATGTCGTTAAAAACAAGACTTGAAGAAAGAAACCTTGTCAAATCATTTGAACAAGAAGCACCCAAGTGATCAAGTGAAAAGCATGAAAATGCAAGCAGATTTTGCACAGCCTGCCCATGTAAACATTTGCAGTTTAGACGCTAACTAAACGGCAGCCGCCGGATGAAAGCAACAATCAACATTACGGAATGTCCTTCCATATTTATTTGTCATGTCCTTGTTTATGATGATACTAATGCAACGTGCTGTACCGGAGACAAATTCCTTGTGTGTTCTACATACTTGGCCAATAAAGATGATTCTGATTCTGATTCTGATCAATTGTTTCATCTTTTAATCAGTCACATTTGCAAGTAGCGATGATGCTAACGCCGTATGTAGGATCATAACTTTATTTATAATTGTGATCTTTAGAGACCAGTTTCATGTTTACAAACATTGGAGGATGCACGTGCATAGAGGAAACAAAAGCACTTGTTGTTGAACAATGTCCACTCACACACCGCTGCCTGTATTTGATAAATACCCGTAGCGTTTTCACACACGAAACTCTCAAAGCCTACAAGAGTCTTGATGCGTATAATTACGTGGTATGTGGCCATGTTTAGTCGGTTATTTTTCATCAAGCTGCTGAAAACTGTGACTTTTGTTTCCTGAAAGCCGATGTCTTGCCTCGTCAAAGAGGGACAAAAGTCTCAATGTTATCATGCATGGATATGTGTGAATAAGAAGACTGGCCCCACAGTGACCGCTAACTGCACATGCATGGCAGGGTAAGTAGGTGTCTTCAAATTTCAATTATGGACAATCTAATTCAATTATCAAACTAATAAATGCTGAGAGGATAATTAAGCAAATAACCATGCAGTAGTTATTAACTGTACCTAACATTTGTGTGTGACGAATGATAATGAGTTTAATTGTTGTGACAGTTTGATGTAACATGTAGAGTAGTTGAAGTTTAGAGAGATATCAGATTAAGCACAACTTTAATCTAGATTCTACATATTCACACCTTTGTCTCAATAAAATAACAAATAATGTTCAACAGTTTTCTATTCAGTTTGAATTATTCAACTTTTTTGTTTCAGCGTTGTTCATGTTGCAGCCATGCAGCAGCAATCAGTTTAAGGTGGACATGGCTGTGAGACTGGGCCTTAACGCTTCAGCCTGCACGTCACGATCCTGTGCAAAGATGAAGCAAAGATGTCGAGATAATTTGCTGAAAATAGATTGCAATAGCAAGATCCTAATTCAACCAAATGTGAAAAATGATACACACATATGAAACAGGCACTTGTACAGCCATGCAGCAGCAATCAGTTTAAGGTGGACATGGCTGTGAGACTGGGCCTTAACGCTTCAGCCTGCACGTCACGATCCTGTGCAAAGATGAAGCAAAGATGTCGAGATAATTTGCTGAAAATAGATTGCAATAGCAAGATCCTAATTCAACCAAATGTGAAAAATGATACACACATATGAAACAGGCACTTGTACTCAACATGTTAAATGTAAGCATGTTTCAAATGCTTTTATTCTTAATTATATATTTGATTTCAGATTTAGGGATAACTGACGAACACATAAACTTGCTGAGATCAATTACATCAAAAGCTGCAGTTCTCACAAGCATTTATTCACACAAGGACTCCACAGACAGAAACACTTCTTCACAGTGCGAGGACTGTCTTCCTGAGCCAGTTACAACTTTGAATGAAGAGTCAGCATATGATATAACACCTGAAGAACTTTCATCGAAAGTTGATCAGACATTGCTCTGTTGTGACGGAGGCAGCTGCACAATCAACGGGTACAGGTTGATCGTCTGTAAAATAAATCATATCACATACATGTATATAAAATGTTTACCTGTGGGCTTTTTTGTTTTGTTATGACCAAATGAGTGGACATTATTTTTCAGACGGCTTACAAGTTACTTGTAAATGTAGGCTCACTAAAATTTCTGCAGCTGTCATAGTATCTTCATGGTCGGCTTGATATCTGTGGGAAAAAAAAAATGGTGTTCGTACATCAGTCTATACTGTATTTTTCTTGGAATAAATTCATTTTCAAGACAAACTATGATTCAAAATCTGGACTACCATGTTCCAGGGATGCTTTTCCTGTAAAATTTAAAAATTAAATTTACAGATGTAAATTATAAATATGTAGTGATACATATATATATATATATATATATATATAGAGAGAGAGAGAGAGAGAGAGAGAGAGAGAGAGAGAGA